GAGATAATCGCAGATGTTGCCCAAGACGGGTACTCACCACAAGCCATCGCTTCCGCCGTTGCCATGTCCGTCGGCATTTACTCCATGACGCTAGGCTTGCTCAAGCTAGGATTTCTGCTAGAGTTTATTTCCGTGCCCGTTCTGAGCGGCTTCATCTCCGCAGCTGCCATCGTCATCATGCTCGGCCAAATCCCCTCGCTATTCGGCATCACTGTCGGCTCCGGTACGGCGAACATCATTCACGACCTTTTCGCCAAGATGCCACAATACGACGGTCCGACATGCGGAGTGGGTCTTGGGGGCCTTCTACTGCTCTATCTCATGCAGAAGATGGGACAGCGCTGGGGCAGGAAGAACAAGGCCATATGGCTGCTAGCACTTGGGCGTAGTGCTGTAGTCCTCATTCTCTTCGCTGGTATCTCCTACGCAGTGAACAAGGACATCGACCTTGAGAATGACGATCCTGTCTGGGCACTCAGCAAGGTAAAGTCTGATGGGATTGCAACGCCTCGCATGCCAGACTCGGCACTTATTGGCAAGGTATTCGCCCGAAGCATTGCGCCCTTCATTGCAGCTGCGCTTGAACATCTAGCTATCGCTAAAGCCTTTGGTCGCAAGAACGGCTACGTTACCGACGCTGCACAAGAGCTAGTCTATCTCGGCTTCACCAACTTCTTCAATTCTTTCTTCTCCTCCATGGCGGTCGGAGGTGCTATGTCGCGGACTGCCGTCAATTCAGAGTCCGGTGTCAAGTCTCCAGCTTATGGTTTGATCGCGGGTGGTGTCGTCATCCTCAGTATCTTCAAACTTTCGCCAGCACTATACTGGATACCGAAAGCTACATTGGCAGCTATCATTGTTACGGCAGTATGGCACATTGTAGTTCCCCTCAAAGTCTTCTACGGATATTGGCGCACCTCACTCGTCGACTTTACTACCTCCATGCTAGCTTTCTGGCTCACCCTATTTGTCTCCTCAGAAGTTGGGATCGGCACGGCCGTCGGATTCAACATCGTCTACCACCTCCTCTTCATGGCCTTCCACCGCGTTCACCGCATAACGTCTATCGAAGTGGCTTCTCACGGCCGCCAATCCGGTATGCATCCCACTCCTCTCGATACCCAAGTATTCCGCATTCACCAGTCTATGCTCTTCTACAACGCCTACCACATCAAGACGCAGTGCCTCGACGCGGTCCAGACATTCAACTCCGGTGATGTGGCGACACTGGAGGCTGCGCACGCAAACCGCAACTGGAGTGTCGCTGGCAAAGACCGTGCCTTGCGTCTCCGCACGAAAGCCGAGATCCTCGAAGAGCCTGTTCAGATCCGCAGTGTCGTGTTGGACATGTATGCCATGCATAATATCGACACAACAGGTCTTACGCATCTGAAAGATCTGAAAGCAGATATCGAGGCGTATGGTGGGAAGAACACGCAGTTCAGACTCGTAGGGCTAAACGACCGTGTTCGCGAGCGCTTCGCGAGGTTCGGGTGGAAGCTCCGCGATGTGGCTGATGTCAATAAGAAAGGCACGATGGTATATGACACAGTCGAGGAAGCTGTCTTCCGCCGCTCAAGGACATTTTCGTCGGATGAGATCGAAGTGGAGCCTACCGAGGTGTTTGTTGTCGGCGATGAGAAGAGTAAGGTTTAGATTACGGGTTCAAAGGTCGCATCATAGGTGTGCTACGCCTGTTTCTTCTCCCACCTCCGCTATCAGGAGTATTGTCACGATTTTATGATGAAACGCTCGTTATTCTTCAACTATACATAGTTTCACCTGTCTATACACGAGTCAGGACCCTTATATTCTGCATGTATCCACGATTCACTCTATTCCTTGTGCTTCGCACAGTGACCGGGCGCAATCTTAAATCTCTCTCGCCTCGAACCCCAACTCTTTTCGACGTCTTCTAACTTCGTTTCACTCTACACTATTTATCTAATCGCTCGTCTCGGCAAAGCTCCCGAACATGCCTCTACAGCACTCTCGGTTCCGCGCTATCTGCTCTTCCTCAGACAGCGCAGGGTCGATAACAGTACGAATATTAGACTTCAAGTCAACTGGAATGGCGCCACGCCGACCGTACACGTAAGTCTCGACCTCCATCTCCTGGTCAAGTTCCTGGAAGTTGTAAAATGTCCACTGTAGCGAGCTCTCCGGAAGAGGATTCGCTGGCCTACCATGTACTGGTAGAGTTACAGCAGTCATGGATATTCTTTCACCAAAGCTGGCCGGCCACGGATGCGGAGATGACCTTGTGCCGTGGGGCAGTGGCTCTGGCTTAGACAGCAGATTTGCAGACCGTCCGTAGTATGGCCTTGCGGTATTCATTCTTAACAATTTATTGAATCGTTCTTGAGCGTTGGGAGGCGAGTTACGCCAATTTTCACTTGATCCGATAGTACGCAGGGCTGGTCTCTTTGTATCGAGAGAACTATGTTGAGGTGTTGTCGCGGTCGAGGAGCTATCGTTCGGCGGTGAAGACGTGCTGGTGGGAGGCTTTGAGGTTGCAGTAACAGGACCGGTCGTCGCGTTGTTAATGTGCGGCGGCTGTGACAAAGCTAATGCAGGCGGACTGTCGGGTTCTTCTTGTGGACAAGTCAGGGTGATCTCTGGAAACTGGCGCACTTTCCGAGGGAGCGTGACACTTTCTTGTTCTGCAACAGGCTTCAACAGATCTAACAACTTCCTTTGAAAGGCGTCGAGTTCATCCTTGTTCTTGGGGATGGTGGGCCGCTGAGGTGCTTTAAGAAGCGCCTCTGATTTCGCCGCGGAAGTCATCGGGGCGAGAGCTACTGGCTGATTGCTCAACAATCGAAGCTGCGATTTCGCTTCTTCTTTGTGGCTAGGGACTAGGAACTTTTCCGCAAACGCACCTATAGCTGGTAGTTTCTTCTTGGTAGGAGAGGTGACGTTGAGTGGCTTAGGTACAAGCTTGGGTAGCAATCGCGTCTGCGCTTTGTACGAAAGTTGTTTCCAGAATGTCTTCGAATCGAAGAGAGGCAGTACTTCCGTTGTCACCTTCTCAGGTTTGTAGTCCGTGCGCATTTTCGCGGAGTGAGGGAGCTTCATTATGGAGAAGCTAGACCTTATGAACCGATCGAAAGGGATCTTTTCGGCTACGACAGCTTTCTCCACCCTCGTTACCTCGATCTCTGACTCACTATGGGACTCGCGCGCAGGAACGATTATCTGCGAAGTCCGCAACGGCGAGTCTTTTGTCCGATATATCCCATCCTCGCGCGCTAGCCCCGACATCTTCTTGTTCTTCACGCTGTCCCTGTGTTTGCGCAGACCCCAATCTTTTCTTTCTCCTATACTCTTCCAGAAGACTCTCTGCGCTACTTCGGTACGACCAGCCCGCCGAGAAACCAAGGCTGTCCAGTCGGCTTGTGCCTCTGGGAAAGTATGGCAGTGGTTCTGGCAAGCGTGTAGATGCCATATTATGGTATGAATTGACCAGCCACTACTTTCGCACGAGAGGACGTCATCGCATGGCTCGGAAATCTCTTGAAAGGAGACCTCGCAGACAGGGCAGCAAGCTGGGGTGAGTGTTTTAAGACAGATCAAGCGGTGGTCGAAGGCGTCGAGATCTTTCATACCCCACAGGTCTTTGTGGCAAAGAAGACAATAAGTTTTCTCCAGATCTGATGGGAAGGATGGCATCGGTGTGGATGGTTCCTCTCTCTCATCTAGTTCGCTGTTCTCGACTTGCAGCGTCTCCACCGAGATCTCGTCGCTGTCTCCAACCTCCTTTTCCTCCAGGGGATTCTTCCCAATCTGAATCTTCGCTTCCTTCGCCTTCTCTCTTAGACCATTCCAACATTTGTTGAAATGGATGTTTGCTTTGGCTTTGGGCTTTAAGTCTACTCGCTGATAGCAAATGCCACAATTGGATCTGTCGGCCTTTATGGTCTTCTTTGGCACAGGTGGCGGTTGACGCCTGGGTGGAGGTGGCGAATCTTGAACTTGGGCGGCTCGAAGATCTGGAGATGGAGGCGCAGTGAGGGCTTCTAGGTTGGGCATCGCATAAGTGTTCATCTGGTCAGCTTTGATCTGAACAGTTCTAATGCGATATAACGTGAGAACTGGCGCTTATAAGTCCGTGGAATTGAAGTTGTGTTCCTGTGGCTGTGAAATAGGTCGAGCGGGTGTGATTTGTCCGTCTATAAGAAAGCCGTGAGTACGAGAAGCTTAGCCTAGTAGATTTAGGTTACACTGAGTGTTTGTGCGTTCGGAAGCCAATGCTTTTCCACACATTCACCAAGCCAATTCAGATTTCACGTTACAGACTGCGACGCCACGAAGACTCTTGCTTCACCCATCCTGATTGAGAGAGAATTGGCGTACTCCATGAGGTACACTATGTAGATTGGGTGGTGTCTCTCCATTCCCGTCATGAACTTTAGCTTTTTGACAACTCGTTATATACCTGTAATACGGCTGCGAACTTTTTCGACACATTTTGGTGGCTCTATCCTGTTCGAGGAAAGAAGTACATACCAGCCCTGTGCGGAGAACGACATGGAAATCAAGGATCTAGAAGTCTACACCACGCTTAAATGTTGGTATCTCTCATTTTTTGTTCTGTCGTAGACTTCAGTGCATCTTTTCAATTTCCTCATTGTAGTGTGTGGCAGCAACGTCTTGTGCAGCCGGTCAAATGTGAGCCATGAAAGCTTAGTACTTTCTTATGGCGAGGCTACGACATTGAACTCATCTTTACCGCAAAAGCCATTCATACCAGGGTCATTGAGAGTCGGACGTGATAGCAGATCTTCGAGGTCACCACATGAGATGTGCCGATACAATGTTGAGAATATCGGAGAGTGTCGCACGGTCGTCACCAGTATCATTCCAAGCTGAGTGAAAACCCATTGTTCATGCATACCGCATTCTAGCAAACCCCCATGGGCCTATTCAAGCTATATCATGATTACATAGAAGCTCTCTTGACCATCACGCATCTACGCAACCGGTTAACATTGTCTACCATGATCCATCGAAACATGAAAGCCCACGACTACATTGTCATTGTGAAAGATATCGAAAAAGGCTACGCTACCTTCAGCCAGTGGGACCAACTCAGCACAAACATGGTCTTTGCGCTTCCATGGCGACTTCTGCAGCAATGTCCAGATGGACTGATACTAGACAAGCCCGAAACGGTAGAGAAGTTGGCCGAAAAAGAAGAGGCCTTGTCGGACTGGGACGACGACAACCGCGGCGTCCGGTGGGACGAAAATTCAGGCTGGACGTTTAAGTCTCTAGAGAAGCCAGACGCACCTAGTACCGAAGAAGACACATCTGAAGACTTTACTCCGCAACCGAGCCTCGCAGATTCTGTCGAAGAGGAAGTCCTGGTATACATAGCGACACTACACACTTGCCGGAAGCCTTACCCGCATGTATGCCCATTGGTGCTCAGGAAGGTCCCAAGGTGCCTGAGCTGCAAACGGAACACCCGTGATCGTATCGACGCTTTTCGGAGTCTTAGAGAGTTTACCAGATCACGATTTGGAAATGGTACATCAACTTTAAGAAAGGAGCTTTTGGTGGGCCACGTTGAAGACACCGCAGCCAGGACTAGCGAATTCATTAAACTGGACTCGTTCCGGCTAGCGCATCTTTGGGATGAGCGATTTGACTCAAGGGCTGGAAAGTACGATATGACGGGCATCAAACTGCTTGAGGAAGAGCCTGGCCAGATAGTTGTTCGTGGTCCTCGAAGCATAGCACAAGAAGAGTACTGATTCTAGTATGGAAGCTTTTCAACCATTAGACGTGTTAATAGGATTGTACTTGTGCTTCTCGCGTTCTGCTGCATACACACTATTAGATATTAACAAGTATACAGTCCAAAAGATGATGTATACTTCTGAAAAGAAGATGAAATAATGGAACACTTTTGTAGAATGCAATACGAGTTGCAGCCGCCCTTGGTAAGGTCTTCTTGGCTCGCACTAGATCGACATGTCGCAGTTTCGCTGCTGCGCTGATAGCTGCTCTTGTGCTCCGAGGCAAGCGCGCCGGCTTGTGAGATCCCGATGTTGCAGCTAGCGCGGTTCACGGTAACGGTTGTGCGCCGCAACATTGTGATGTGGGAGCCCAGCTTTCTAGCCAACGAAGGTATCCCTTGCGCGAAACAACGATAAAGTAGAACGGAGCAGACGTCAAAGTGCATCTTCATCTGTGCGGAGGTATGAGAGCGCCAAGCTCAACAAAAGCAATAAACTGCATGATGCAGGATGGAAACACAAGACGAAAGGTGGTGTTGCGGATAGGCAAAGCCGACGGCATCATAGCGTTAGGGGCGCAGGATACGTCATCAATCTCACGCTAGTACACGAAGGGTTTAGCAGATTTCGACGCGATCGGTGTGGGTACAGCGCGGCAAGTTGGAATCCGAGCATGTGTCTGCGTTTGAAGAAATTGTATTGCATTATGCGTATGCATGGGGTATCAGTAAATTTTGGTTGATGGCGTGTATCAAAGCCGACTTTTAAGGGATCTTTATGATCCACTTCCTTAGAACATCTGCCTGTTCTTCATCTCCACAGGCAAGAAGCACATCAATAGTGCAGATAGCCAAATACCACCAGCACCTAGCCAAAGGATGCCAGAGCTCTGATCGGCCAGGAGCTGAGCCCCCGCAAAGGGTGCGACAATTCCTGCGATGCGACCGAGACACGAAAGCATGCCACTCACACTACCACGGTAGACAGTGTCGAAGAGCTCCGGCGCAGACGCGTACAAGACCGCATTGAAATACTGAACACATATTAGTATTGGAAGCGATGAGTTCGGAAATCGTCACTTACGGTTTGCATAATGTACTCCAATGCGTTCAACCCCACATAAGCAGCGGTCGAAGACACCTGAGTATACATTGCCATGGAGATACCCTGGCAAAGGGCAGAAAAGACTAGTGACCACTTTCGACCCACAAGAGGCAGCTGAATGGACGCAAGAGCCAATATGGCACCTATGATACCCGGGAAATAGATAATCAGGTACTGCTCATAGGTGTCGCTCACAGTTCCTCGGCCTTCATCGACGTTGTTGCGTAGCAGGATAAGCGGCAGGAAGGTACCCGCCAGGTTAAAGGACCAGTAGTCTCCCTGTTTTTGTTAGTAGGCAACATAATGATGGAAAGTCAAGCTACTTACCATGTATGCCAGCGCAAGCAAGACGAAAGCGAAAGCGGTCAGCTTGTTGGTGAAAATGCCCTTGAGGCGCGTAAGCTCCTTGCCGAATCCTTTGATGACTTTCTTGGTAGTATCCTTGGTACTTCGAGGGGAGTTTCGTGCGCTCGATGTGGCATTCGGCTTTTTGGTGAAAATGCCCTTAAGGCGCTGAAGCCCATTGCCTTTCTCGGGGGTAGCCTGGGTAGCCTGAGTAGTTCGAGGTACTTCAGTGGAAAGTCGTGCGCTTGACGTGGCATTGGACGATACCTCATCTATGGCGGCAAACATCTCCATAGTCAACGTTGGGGCTGGCTGCTTGTTGAATTTCGCAATCCTGTGAAGGACGTCAAGGGCCTCCTGCTCTTTTCCTCGCGCAAGCAGGAACTTCGGGGACTCATGGAAAGTGAAGACGAAGTACCGAAGGAAAAAGACGGCCAAGGTCATACAGCCAAGCACTATGACAGTGTAACGCCATCCCATGTTACTGTCAACGGTACAGCAAGCAACTCCAGGCTCGACGTCTGGACAAGCCGGCGCTTCGGGATCGCAGCGCCATTTAGCTTGGCCGGTGGTGCCGTAGGCAATGCAAGAGGCAATGGCGACACCAATGGGCTGCCACATGGAAAGAAGCGCGACAAGGAAGCGGCGGTTATGAGGTAGAAACTCAAGCGCGATGGTCGCATCGATAGGTATGTTACCTCCGAGGCCCAATGACGCGAGGAAGTAGATGGCGCATATCGCAGGGTAGTTATACTTGGGTGCGGCCTGACATGTTGTTAATTACCGATAATCAATATTGCGGCTTCATGAACATACCAGCAAGAGTCCGAATACGGAGGTAATGAGACAAGTCAAGTTGAAAGCCCATTTGCGTCCGATGATATCCACAGCAAGACCAAAGCCGAGCGCACCGACAGCAAGTCCTGCGTTAGCGATCGCAAATATATCTCCAGTGTGTTCGTCCGAAACTCCCATCTGCAAACGCTTTAGTACAGGGTACCCGCTTTGTCTGGCCTAACTCACCTCTTGGTAGATGGCAGAAGCAATTAAACCAACACCTTGTGACCAGGCGAGATCAAGGAAGTATCCAAAGCCACAGAGGAACCAGATGCATATCTGGTATCTGCCCATTCCAAATTTATCGAGCTCGACATTGATGAGGGCGGCCTTCTTCTCAAAGGTGTTGAGCGGGTTTGCGGCTGTGCCTTTAAGAATTGCAGCGAAAGACAAGTCGGTTTGGTCGACGCGTTCTACGTCGTTATAGATGGGGATTTCGACTTTAGCGCGCGCATTTTCGGGATGCTCGACGGGTATCTTCTCCTCGTCGCTGAGGTGCGCAGGGCTGCGCTCCGGCTGCTTGACATCCATCTTGACGGCGACAGGGCAAGCTACTGTCAAGGGCAGGGTATTGTCAGGTGACTGCGCGTAGACTGGGTGAGAGTGAGTCGCCGCGTGGTAATGGCAGTTTACAGGGTCGGTACCGTGGGACAAGGTATGTTATACGTACGCGGGGAACGAGTAGCTCTTTCACGCTACCGTCGACTACTGGCGAAACGGATCTAAGCGATGAAGGCGCTACGATCTAAGTGCTGATCCAAGCCTCGTCCGTTCAACGGCCCTCATGTCCAAGACGGCAGAGGTTTAGCTGATCCGATCTCATTGGGTGCCACCGACTGATGACGGCATAGCCAGTAGCCCTGTCGCGCGACTTTGCCTGACCCTGTTCTTGCATGGTTTTGTTCCTTCGGCATGGCCGTGTAGCGATAAATCTTGGACAGCGACTAACAAGATGCACTAACAGCTCAGCTGATTAGAGTCTGATAGGTTCGCCGTTCCGTCGCGATGCGATTGTAGAACATAAGCGGCGGCAAATGCACCCGTGGACGGATACCAACAGAGATGCACTACGCAGTGCCTAGACCAGTGGCTCCGCTTGAGGCTGAGGGTTACGCAGGAGGAGCAGCTGCACCGTCATTTTCTGGCACGCTTGCTGCAAACTCCTCTCCACTCTCCAATATCACCGCGGAGCTCCACTACCAATCTCAATCTCGCCATCCACAAGACTGGCGCTGGTACCGAGATCTCTTTTTGCCATGACCCGCCCTCCCCAGTTTTTCGAGATCCTAGGTTCGTTATCGGCGACTGCCCTTTCCATATGTAGTTTAGTGTAGAGCCCGATAACGCCACACGAAACATTGAAGTGATCGCATGGCCCGCCTCGGTTACCTGCACACATCCTCACGTCACGATTGATGACTTTTCTCATTGTATCCACCACTGTCTAGGTAGCTTGAGTGCGACTGACACGAGATGACTCCCCTAAAGATTTGTATGGAGGTCATCGTTAGCTCTCCGGCTAACCTGAAAGCGTTGTCTCTTCACCGAGCGCGCCAGGACGCACTCGGCTCACATCTGCCGTTCAAACGCCCAGCAGAGAGGTCGTTGTCACTGTCACAGTTCATCATTACCCAAGCGGCCTTCTGGATTGAGGAGCTAATCAAACGGTATCTATACGAAATCTGCAAATTCATAGCTTCTGTCGAACTCCGCGATCGCTGCTGCAAGCTTCAAGGACAAGTTATCTGTGTTTGCATAGTGCTTCATATGTCTCTTCCATGGATACCGCAGTACTCTTTTGAGCGTTTTCCGATTCCATTCCCCGATCAAAGCTCGCTGCTCACGGTCTTTTATTTGAAATATGTACGCGTTACGAAGGTGCAGCTGACATTCTAGACATTGAATATCCTCAAGCTTACCTGTCTATATAAGCACCCTTGCGCCGCGGAATAAGGAGCTCTCTACAACACATCGCATACATACACCCAACACGCAAATAAGCAACATCTTGTACAATTTCCAGTATACGCAACCAATCTACCTATCTACACCAATATAACGACTCATCGCCTTACACCATATCATCAATCATGAGCCACTCTTCCCCTATGGACTTGCCTTCGAACACTATCCAAACCGAGGAACAAGACCCACAGAACTGGATCACATACTGTGACGTACATCGCCTTCCGTTGCTAGCCGATGAAACAAGGCCAATCTCCATCGGAGAGAACGTTCTATCCAAGGCCTCAGGCAGGTTTCTATGGGCAGACTTGATGTTCGAGATCGTCAAACGGCAACCCACTACATCTAATATCACTGCTTGCCTGGAGACTGCGCCGGATGATGCTATGGAACTGGTTCCATTGTTGTTGCAGGTCTACAGCAATGTACTTACACGAGAAGAGCGTGAAGAGCTGTCTTGGATCATATTACTCCTAACACACAACCAACACACTGGCCACACCTGCACCCTTGCAAGTCTCGATCGCATGTTGTTCGAGACCTCGCTGACCGGCCGCACGGGCACCTCTCTCGGTGAAAGAATACGCGACAACTTCACTCCTCTGTTTGATCTCGAACAAGAGGATGGGATCACTCTCAGTCATCTCAAGATCCACGATCCTGCACGCGCTTTTGGGCTTACGTGCACACCTTCCACGACGACTGTTACTTTTGCGCACCCATCGCTCACTGAGTATTTTCTTCAACACCGCGACAAATCTCTCAACGGGAGGGTGAAAGACGCCCCTGTCTTCAACAGCGCTGAGCTACATTTTCGCCTACTACAGCAATGCTTTCTTAGTTTCGCTGAGCCTCAAAGCGAACCTTTGACTGAAGCGGCCGAAGCGTTTCGGAAGTACGCCGCTACTCACTGGTACACCCACCTCGCAGGCACTTTACCGAGTGACAATGTCGAAGCCCTGAATCTTTCGGAAGACGACCGTGAAGAGATGTTAGGGCCTCTTAACCATTTCTTCAAAGATGAGAATATCGTGCAGCACTGGTGTCAGCACCTACCAGCAACATTCTTCAGCAGAGCCAGATCTGAAGATGTGGGCGAGTTGAAAAGTCTTTGCTATTACCACTCAGACCCAGAAGCGTTCGAGTTTATCAAACTTAGCGCCTTCATGAGCTCCAAGAAGTGGCAGGACTTCTGGCTACCAGTAGCAAAGGTGCACGCTAAGAGGGGACTACATGGCGACTGGGATCGAAACCACTCACTCCAGGTAATCTTCCACATCAAGCACCTCGTCGATACAGAAGATGCGGTCGCAGATATCCGAGGAGAGTTGTCCCAGCAAGAGATGACTGAGGCTGCAGAATGGACCGAGTTGGAGTCGAAGACAGATCCGCCTGAATTCACCTTGAAAGAAGAGAGCTCAGGGTTTGAAGAGGAGGAGACATTGTCTTCTGAGGCGACTCAGAGTATCATTGAGGCATGATTGTGTTTGAGTCGGACGTGCTAGGGGGTTTCAAGGTAGATGTCAGCAGGTCGAAAACAGCATTGTGAAGCAGCCAGTAGTACTTCAAGATACTTAAATCTATTCTGTAAACGCAATGAACACACTGAGAACTACCTGTTTATCGCGAGGTAACGCGAAAGCGAGTTGCATAATCGCTGTATTGATTCATGCTACACGCGATGCAAGATGAAGAAAGACATATGGCCTCGCCGAATAACTCCGACCCATGCTATATATCCAATCACCCTTCCCGTATCTCTGCCCATCCTGTCCACCTTCCCAGTCTTCTTATTCAACCACCTCCACCACGTCGTTTGACTTCAGAGGAGCCATCACGATAGGTCTCTGGTCGGTCTGCACAGCAAATCCCGACGCACCTGTCGAGCCACCCGCAAGCGCCTGCCTCAGCTGGTTCAAGATCGTGAATTCCGTGCGCAGCTTGACGGCATATACAGCGACCTTATAGAAGCCCTGCATGAAGAAGCGACCGCTATAGGCCAAGCCCAGGACGCTGGCATCGAGCATGATTATGAGGACGTTGACAGCGATGAGATTGCGGAGGTTGTCTCGAGTGGTGCGACGACTATTGCCGAGAAGCTCGAGGCTCTGGAAGTACTTCGATGTTTGCCAGATGTATAGCATTCCGATAATGCATTCTTGGGTGAAGAAAGCGCCGACTTGCACTTTGTCCCAGATCAGGTTGGCCTTCTCGAGTCGTGCGCTGAAGCGTGGGTGGCGCTACGATCAATTAGTATGGTACAGTTGCTTGCGACGAGAGACGTGCAGCAATCATCCCGAACAAGACTGTGGTAAGGCCAAAGATGACCGAGTTAGTAGTAATCATATAGAGGATATAGCGGTCTTTTTTCGTGTTTCTCCACACGAGGCCGAGGCGAGAGTAGAGAACAAAAGACTGAGCGACGACGAAGAGGAGCCATGATAGGTAGATGAAGACGATGGCCGAGTAAGACGTCCACTTGTTGAAGTTGGCCAAGATAATGGAGATGCCGTGGACTATCAGCCCCCAACTGCAGAGTAAACAGCTCCAGAAGTAAAGGCTGCGACGTGTAGCCCTGTAGAGCAGGCGGATATTAAGCTCGATGCATATAAACCAGGCGACTCCTAGGAACGCTGCTGCGGCCATGGAAGATGGTCGGTCGGCCAATTCGGGTGCCTTGGGGTTGCTGGAGTCTGTTTCTGAGGTCATGGTGACTAGCGTGAGAGAGGTGCTCGTCGGGCGGGTGTTGTTGAGTGTCGCGAGTTGAAAATTCTGAAGGCTGCGAGACGATGAGGTACGATAGAAAACTTTATCGGTGTGGGAAGATATCGGTGGTCGAAAGTGTTCTCGCGTGAGCGTGCCTTCCTCAGTCACCCTCACGGTGACTGCCGTTTTAGACTCGGTACCGAGAAACCGCCTAGGGCACGCGAGCACGCGAGCACATGTTGAGTGCCAAGACAATATCCTCGGATGCGACTGCTCTCCCAGAGGCAAGTCACCGTGCCCTTCATAGCAAAAATCAGACCACCAGACAAATCGGTGAGGGATATGAGGCAGCCTCTTACCAAGAAAAACCTGAACCAGTGCTCTACCGTCCAGACTAGTATCAAAGTTGAAGCTCACGTATTCCCTAAGGTAACGGAGACTTCTGAGAGCAGCTTTTTGGGCCTTTTCCTGGTATGAGGTGAAGCAAGAACGTGAACAAAATGATAACTTTTAAGATCTGGCAAGTTGCATGACGCAACAGATGACGACCCTGACACCTAGCATGCTGTCAAGACAACGTACTTTCGTCTTGCACACCCCCAATCTCACTTTCTGGCGGAAGTGTTGACCTCAGCGACGTTCTCTTGCCTGCTCAAGATCTTCTTAGGGCCCCAGGTACCAGCTCTACCACCGGGATCAACACGACCCTTCTTGGGACTCATCCTCTCACCCCCTCCAGCGCCTCCATTGAGCTCTTTGATGTTCTTGGGTGCGGCAGCCATCTTGATGGTCGATACGGTGTTCAATGGTGTTACTGGAGCGTTGGCAGGGCCACTGCCACCGCCGTTCCTCTTGCCTTTTGGCTTCTTTCCAACCGACGTCTCGATCCAGGCACCCCCCTCTTTCTTGGCCTTGCGCTCAGCTTCTTCCTTCTCGCGCTTCGCACGTTGTTCCGCTTCTCGCTCCCGTGCGGCCTTGTCGCGAGCCTCACGTCGGACGCGCTCCTCCTTGGCCCTCAGTTCCGCTGCCTGCTTCTCCCTCACTGCGCGCTCGCGAGCTTCGTAGGCCTTGGCAAACTCGTGCTGCTCGAACCGGACTTGGGCTTCAGTCTCAGCGCGGGCCTCGAGCTTGATGCAAGGGTAACATGGGAAGTGCGATGGGCGAGGCTTGTCGTCGTCGCTAATGTCGGGGCACACGTTGTTGGAGAGAAAGCCCGGACGGCACATCTCGATGTACGGGCGATCAGAGAGGTGGCCACATGTGTGCAGCTTCTTCCAGTAGAGACACATCTTGAAGAGACCTTGATAATGTCAGTAACTTGCGTAGACATGGCTGCCAGCTAGTACTTACGTTGTCAGAGTACGGCTTCAGATTGGAAAGAAGAGGTCGTGATGGTTTGGAATCGCGTGTAGAAGAAGCAAGGAAGAGTGGAAGACTGCTGTTTTAGGCTTGAGAAAGGATGCAATGTGCATTGAGGTGAGAGAATGCCCAGTGGCTCTTACTTCGTACACGGCTTATCGTATGCAAAGCGGCAGGAGCGTCTAAGGTGAGAGAAAGAGCACTGTGCGAGGAAGAGGCGGCCCTCCCTCATCGGGTAGGCAACGACAGATTGCAACGATTGAATGGAAACTGAGCCAGGAAAGACGTGCGACTGAGACCAACGGTACAAGATATTGAAACTATAAAGGGTATATCCATCGCAATACACAGACCATCGAGATCTGATGTCCATCAATACAAATATCCTGGGTATCCTACCTTCCTGAAAACATGCACTAGGTAGCATGTCGGGCCCAAGAGACGCCGCAAGAAATGCCTGCAAGTGTACTGAGAGCAGGAGAAAACAGCGCAGAGTTGTCTACGCCCTCATCTTCCGTCGCATCTCCGGACGGGCGCCGCGATGCTCAACCTCGGTGATGCGGCTGCCGCCAATCTCCTTGACCTTCGCTACGAGGGTGTCCGTCTGGTCGAGCTCTTCAATGTCGTCGCCTCCTCCTATGCTCTTGCCCATGAGCAGGATGTTAGGCACTGTTCGTCGGCCTGTTGACTTGTGCAGGAAGGCTTGTAGTTGTTGGCCAATTGGGCTCTTATCGAGTTCGACGACGTAGGGTTCGGGCTTGATGTTGTACTTCTCGAGCAGGATGTGTTTCGCTTTCTTTGAGAAGGGGCAGTAGGATTTCGAGAAGATGATCACTGCAATAAGTTAGTGACTGCGCAGGGCTCAAATGAGCGAGGAGTAACGTACTTGGACTCTTCTTCAAGATGGCATTGAGCTCCATCTCGACTTCGTGGTCCTCAAGCGTCTCATGCTCCATCATGGCTGCTTGATCGCGCGGCTTCCCGCCCTGTTGCGCGACGCCAGGGACCCTGTCGCCGTCCATCTTGACACGGCCGGCGACACTCTTCTGGTCCTGCCCTTCCACCTTGACTTTGTGGTCTGTGTACTTGTCCTCGGCGTTCTTCTTTGCCTGCTCTTCGGCGGCTTTGAGTCGCGATCCGACGCTTTCTGCATCGCGCTGCTTCGCCGCTTCTGCGTATTCTTTTTCTTGTAAGGCTTGTTGGGTTTTGGTGTAAAAGTCGGATGTTTGTGTTTGGTGGGCTCCTCTTGACATGTAGAACAAGACGACGACTGTGACGACAATGAGGATGCCAAAGAACCTCATGCGACGTTGCGACGGCATAATGGCGATGTGTGTAGATGTGGTATGTGTCGTGTGATGGGCGGGTGCGCCGTATGCGTAAAGTGTCAAGCTGGTGTGTTGCTCGAAGACTGCCGGTTACCAATGGCGGTGGAAGTATAGAGCCTTGTTTATGCGGATCGACGGGCGGTGCTGATAGTATCCGTGGTTCGATGGAGGTCCGTGGACTGCGATGGTCGCAGGAGCGCGGTAGAGGCGCGTGGTGATGATTAAAGGTATGGAAGACGTGTGCGATAATCCTGCAAGGGAAACGTGTACAGAAAAGAAGTACACAATAACTGCTATATTCGCTGAAACAGTGCGGCGGTTTAGAGTGTGTTGGTGAGTTGGTGGACCCGGCGCTGGAAACAATGTGGAGGGATGGTGGCCCTGGCGTCTTGCCTTGGTTCGCGTCATGCCGCTTTCCGCATCTCTCCTCACTCCATCCCGGTCAACCGTCCGCCTGCCAGCGCTGTGATTCGCGACTCTGGGCCACGGTGCCTGCCTAAATCCTCTTCTGTCCTGGGCTTCTTTGTTTGCATAGTTCCATGCGCTCCCAATGTCTGCCTAGACGGTCGACGGCACGCACTGTACGTAATTACGCGCACATGAGGGAGTTGTCTTGACCGGTGCAACACTCGATACAAACCCCATTCGAGACCTCCACAGTGAATTCGCAAACACGCAGGAGCACAGCGATGCAAGGCGAAGACGTTGTGCTGTGCCTCCGCTGACCACCCATCCCTGACCGACGACACTATCGAGATGCCGCCGACACCCCGACGGCGCGTGACCTCGCGTTGATGGAAAACGTTTCCAGCTTCAAACCAAGAACGTCGGATCGTCTACTCCATCAACACACGCCGTCGACTACTCTCCGCGTAAGTGGAGGTGCCGTCTTGTCCCTCTCTTGGTGTACTCGAAGCATAGAGTAAGCTCCCCGCACCATGCGTCTCACGACGACATGCAGCCTGTGACCAGGTTCTCCACAGACGGCTGCAGTCCTGTACTGGGTTTAGCGCCTCGCCATACCGCTTTCGTCTGTTCCGCTACATGTTCCAGATCGTTATAGCATATAAAGCTCACTACGTCTGAGA